GTACAGTGCTTCGAACCACGTTTGGTACACAGTCAATACAGTATATATAGCTCATGACAGTGTCCCTGAGAGAGACATTTAAGACACATCCTTCAAAAATATGACAGCTAACAGCTGACTGCTGAGGTTGTGCAGTTCGCCAGTGGCTGAAACTTTTTCTAGAGTCAAAAGTCTCTCACATGCTTGGGCTGTGTTCCGCCAGGGCTTTAGGACATGGAGGTTCCAGAAGTTCCTACAGGGAGGTTCCCTCATGCCTTGGGGTTCAGACAGGATCTCTTGGGCAGGAATGAGTCAGATAGGAGAGGCAGAGGGTGTCTGGGAAGGGTCAGCCTCAAGCTTCCTCCTGGGAGGATGAGAGGGTAGGAGCTGTCCCCAAGGTCCTCTGGCCACTCTGAAAGGCAACAGTCCCATGACAATGGAGGTCTCCCTTGCCAGGGCTCTTACCTCCTGTGTTCAAATCCCAGCTTTTTGTGCATCATGTGGCCTGTGACTGAGGCTGTAACTGTTGCTAATTAAACAAAGACAAGTACCCCCCCAGAGATTCTTATTCACAAAGCAGAGCTGCACACAGCAAATACAAGTATTTTCTTTATTGTAAAAATAGTTCATTGTAAAAGCTCTGTTCATTGTAAAAGTAACATGTGCTTGCAAAAATTCAAACCATTCAAAATTTAAACCTGTACACAATACGTACTGTGTTGTTTCTCATCCTCCAGTAACCCATGGGTAGCTGAAGAAATTGGAACGAATTTCTTTTCACATAAGCAAGAACATCCACACTCCACCTCCCCACCCCAGCACATATCTTATACTCAGACTCATCCACCCCCGCACCCCCCCACTCTTATTTTTCTTTACAAAAAGGGATCACACATACATTTAAGAACTTATTTACAAAAAGAGGTTATTCTTCCAGATGTTAGAATATGGATGTAGCATGGGTCCACAACTCCTGACTGGTTTGGATTCTTTCTTAACTGCTCTGAGCCTTAGTTTGTATATTGGGGAACTGAACATAAGACTAACATTGCCAGACTCACAGGGTGTCTGCTAGGCTCAGTGCAATTTGAACTTACATGAAATCATTTTATAAATTGTCAAGGGCCAAATGCATCTGAGGAATGATTACTATTGCCCTCCTCCTCACTCTCCAAACAGGAAACAACTAGATTTTTAAAGTGCTTCAGGAAGATGACAGTGCTTAACTCAGTGGCCTAGACTACTTGTAATGAGGCTGGTGGAGTGAGGAGAGCTTGGTGGCCTCCAGGCCCCTCCAAACATACCCCCAAATACCTCCTTGGTCTTATAACAGTGAATGTTGGTCTTCAGACTGAGTAGCCCCTGCTCTAATGGTGTTTTGAGATTGATGAAGGTCCTCTTCACCTGCAAGGAGAAAGGAGGGAGGTGACACTGGCCCTCTTCCAGATCCTGCCCTAAATTCAGGTGGTGGCTCCTCTCTCCCTTTCCTGCTGGGGATGGTCTGGGCAGTGGGAGGGGGCAGAGGGCTGAGACTAAGGTTACAGACAGGGAAGGTAGTCCATCGCCTCCTCTCATCCATCATCTCTGGTTCTAAGGCATCTCAGTCATAGCTTGGGAGCATCTCCCGTCATTGGGGGTTCCTCTTTCCAAGGCTGCCTCAAGACACACATGACTTGGAGCTTGCCGGTAAGGTTGCTTATCCTTGACTATGGAAAAAAGAACACAAAACAAGAGACTAGTTTAGTGGTGGGCAGAGGAGGGGAGAAAGAAGGTGAAGTAGCTCCTGGGCCTCCACCTTCCTACTCCCCTCTCCTTCTAGACCCTTTCTAAGGTCAGGCCTAGAGGTCTCTCTGAGACTGTGGGATCCACAAGGGTCCACAGAGAGGTGTGTGGCTGTGGGGTGGGGATCTTGGGGATGAGGACTTCTTTGAAGGTGGGAGGCAGAGGTACCTCAGCAGTAGCTGCTGCTCCCCAGGTGGGAACAGTTCTTGGTGAAGGGATAGGGAACAGAACATTCCTCTTTAAAGGGCTGGACCAGTCAGTGGGGCCTCCCACCCCCCCCTTTTTTTTTATTTCCCACATACCTGGAGGACGGCACTTGCACATTTTAAATCCAGTCTCTATGGAGATGGGGAACGCCATGATGATAACCACAATTACAATTACAATTACAATACATCCTTGACTGGGGGATTCTAAGGAAGGCAAAGAAGAGGGGGCATCCCCCCCAGCCATGGAGCTGTCTCCAGGTGTCCTGGGATTCATCCCTCCCCCTTCTCTTCCCCTGCTCAGCTAGCCCTGGCTCCTCACCCCAGGTCACAGTGAGTGTATGGTTCAGGCCCGGGTGCTGAACATGGCAGGTGTATAAGGCCTCCTTCCCGGCGGGCACCTGCACAGCTGCCCACTTCTGGTAGGTACCGTCCCCGCTGGGGCGTGTCTCCACTTGCTCATTCTCGAGGGCTAGCTCTTCCCTACCCAGCCACCAGCTCAGGACGATGTTCTGTGGGTAGAAGCCCAGGGCCCAGCACCTCAGTGTGACCCCACCATTCTGGGCTATGTGCCGTGTCACATGCACCTTGGGCGGCTCTGTGAGGAGAGGAAGAGGGAAAGAAAGCTGGTGAGAAGCTGCTTTCTACCCATACTACCCCCCATGTCTTTATCTTGGGTACCTCTGCCATCTTCCAGGGGTGGAAGACAGTAAGAGGTGGGGAACAAGGTCTCTCCAGGGGAGCTATGGGGGACCCATCAGCAACTGACCCAATGAGGCATTCTCCCATGTGGGAGACGTGACTTCCCATCCCCGACCAAAGAGGGTCCTGGCTGGGGCTGTTGGGTCTTATATGACATACCTGCCCCTTTCTTCCCACAGTGACCCTTGAGTTTTCTCAGAGGCTTTGCATATACCCCTGTGACTTTCTGCACACAGTAGGTACATAATAAGTGTGTTAAATGAAGGTAAGATTATGACTCTTCCCTGACCTCAGAAGTAGGTTGGTTGCAAGTGTGGGTTCTAGAGTTGGACAGCCTAGGGTTGAGGGCGAGCTCGACACCTTTCTAGTTGTGTGACCTCAGGGAGACTCCTTAACCATGTCTCTCAGGGTTTAATGCGGGATTAATCATTCCTTCTTCTCAGGGTTGTTCTGAGGATTCAATGAGATAATCTAGGAAAAGGGCTGGGGTTGAGTGAGAGTTCAACACTCACTTATTTAACACATACAGATATGGTACTTCCAGGAGGCAGGTGTTATTACCATCCCTGTTTTACTGATGAGCAAAAAGGGCAAGTTACTTGCCTAAGGTCACACAGCCAGCATGTCATGGAACTGGGATCTGGATGAGGAGGCTGGGCTCTAGTACCTGAGCTTGGAACCACCCACCACCCTCTGCTCTCATACTCATGTCCTCTACTCCTGACTTTATTTGTCCTGTCTTTCCTTCTAGGAATGTCTTCCCTATTTTGTCAGCAGATTCACATCTCCAACTCAGTCAAAAACCATGAATGGTGTACTAGGTGCTCTGACCCAGCTTCACCTCCCCAGGAAGCCTTCCTGACTACCACAGCAAGGCTTCCTCCACACCCCAAGCACCCAGTTCTTAACTGTCCATCCCATGTTCTGTATCTTGGAGATCCATAACTTCTGTATCTCTAGCCCTGCTTTTCAGGGTTAGGAGAAGTTTAGGACACATGAGCTGAAGGGGCCTGGGGCCAGAGCAGCAAGTTTATCACAAGAAGGGGTGGGGGAAGGAGAGAGGGGATGAAGAGTCTCAGCTTTTCTGGTCTGGGGATAGGCCTGTGGAGGAGTGCCATCTGCTGGGGCCATTTCCCGAGGAGTAGAACCACAGGACATTAGATTTCAAACTTCATGAGCCACCTGGTTTAACCATTCACTCTATAGATGAAACTAAGGCCTAGAGTCAGGGAGTTAACTACCCAAGACCACACCGTGGGCAGGGAAGAGCTCAGAACTCCTTATTCCAGGCCACAAGCATGGGAGCAAGGGTCAAAGGTTGGGGCTTTCATCCTGCTATGCTGCCAGTCAGCGATCTTTCTGGGCTTCTGGAGGCTTATGTGAGAGGGGGACAGCAGCCTGTCCTTTCTACCTTCACAGGCCTATCTGTAAAGTGGATGCTGCTGGCTCATGTGAGGCACAGGGAACACTCTTTCAATTGCCTGGGCTGGGCCCTTACCTGTTCGGGTCAGACTCTGGTTTCCCAGGTCCAGGTACCTGCGCAATGAGTTGAGGCAGAGGCCTTGCAGGTAGGCCTTATCATACTCGGCATAACATCGGTCTGACTGTAATGTCACAGGCTGGGCTGACACCCAGCTCAGTGTTTCCAGGTCCAGTGACAGGTGGTCCTGCCCATTGAAGCCAAATTGCCAGAAACTGCTAGAGTGGCCATCCTCCTGGATCTTACAGCCGAACATGCGCTGAGCAGTGTGCATGCCTGAGTACACCAAGCAAGAAGACAGTGGTCAGCTAGGGCCACTGGGGAGAAGCCCACTACCATGGGGCCTCTGAAGGGGTGGGAGGGGAAGGGGATCACTATGTTTTTAAATGCTTCCCATGGAATTCTCATGAACAACCAGGGATAAGCAACCTGTTAGCCATTCTAGACTTCCGTTTCTTCATCTGGGAAGAACACCCAGTTTCACAACTTTAAGTCACACTGTGATTTCATATGCCACTAAGGTAGAAAAAAATCTGCCATTTATGAGTGTACGATAGGTCCCTGGGTGGCAAAAATGGTGCTCAAAGGTTGGTGGTTTGAACTCACCCAGAGGCACCACAGAAGATCACCTGGTGATCTGCTTCTGTAAAGAATACAGCTAAGAAAACCCCTCCCTCTAGGGAACTCAGTTTTACTCTGTTAAGAGATGGGGCTGCCATGAGTTGGAACTGACTAGAGGGCAATGTTTTTTTGTTTTTTTTTCCCCTGAATGAGTTGCTCTCAGTGCTAAGACTAATGCACCCAGATTTTAAAATGTGAAAACTGGTGAGCATGGCTGTTACCACTGTCACACAGGGAGGCTGGCTGTTCATGATTATCCTGGAGGCCCTGGGCTCCAGCCACAGGATGCTCTGTGACCTATGTCAGGGCAGAAACACCTCACTCCTTTAAGCTTATTTCTTTGAGGCCTCTGGGGACCTGTGGCCTTTAGTTTGGTCATTTTGGTGTCTTGGCACAGAATGAGAGGGTAAACTAACACTCAGAAAGTGTGCAGTGTGAACAGGCTGTGTTCCACACACAACTTCATTTAATTCTTAAAACATCCCTGGCAATGGGCATGAACCCACTCACTTCAGTGATGAGGCAGAAACTGAGAGAAATGCCTTCTCTCTCACTGGCACTGGATTCGGGAGAGCAGGGG